TAATGAGAAGAATGAAAACCCGTATCATGTAGTCATCACTGACTTGCATAAATGTATAATAAATATAGTTAAGTTACATAAATTGAAAAAAAAATTACAGAGGGAAGCTGGAAGTGTCGCAGCGAGACTGGCTGGAAAAAAGCATGCTCTGCTGAGCCTTGCAGAAATCCAGCCCGACCGAAACCTGCCCTGGAGGGACAGGGGAGAAGGAGTGTTTTGGACGACGTAGAGCAGTGTTTCTCAACCTTGGCCACTTGAAGATGTCTGGACTTCAACTCCCAGAATTACCCAGCCAGCGAATGCTGGCTGGGGAATTCTGGGAGTTGAAGTCCAGACATCTTCAAGTGGCCAAGGTTGAGAAACACTGACTTAGACTTATATATCGCTTTGTAGTGCTTTACAGTCCTCTCAAAGCAATTTTGCAGAGTCAGCATAATGCCCCCAACAATCGGGGTCCTCATTTTACCCACCTCGGAAGGATGGAAGGCTGAGTCAACCTTGACCCTTGGTGTGGTTTGAACTGCCAAATTGCAGGCAGGCGATAGTCAGCAGAAGTAGCCTATAGAACTGCACTCTCACCACTGCGCCACCGAGGATCATTAATGTGCATTTTACTGTGGTTAAGATACAAAATGCAGATTTAAATATAATGTAATGTCCTGTAATGATTTGGAGAACATGGGTCCTGCCCTGCATTTTTAAAAGATAATATAAATGAATTTACAAATTTAAACAAAAGTCTGAAAGTGGCATGCCATAAGCTAAGAAGGACTCCCCGTGCATTCTTCCTTTAGCTTCAGTACATTCTTTACCTACTAAAGGAGTTTTTGAACTTCTGTGCAACAATACGAAAACCATACAGAAATCTCAAAGGGAATGCAGGCAACTGACTGCCAGAGAAAATTAGCTAAAGTACAAAATTGAACCTTAAAAACCAATTCACCCACGTATACGTATTAAAACTATGCAATGCTTTGAGTGATTCTTTTCTCTCTAAAAGGTTCAAGGGGTGCAACCCTTTCATAACTGTTTTATGAAATAAAATGCGCCCCCCACCCGATCTGCCCACTTCAAAGGGTTGAAACAACTAAATTATTTGCATTTTTTCCCCTGTTTTGCAGCCTCTTTGCGTTTTGTTCTGCAGGACTAACTTTTTAAGTGGAAGAGGAGAGGTTTTCAGGAAAATTTGAAGGAGATTTTGAGGAGGAGATGCAGTTCAGCTTGAAACATCACTTCAAACCTCTTCAAGTCAATGGGATGAAAAACAGATTCCCCTGACCCTTTTGCCCAAATATTTTCTGAGCAGGCAGCTTTGGCAAACTAAAACTGGAAGGCAGATCTCTAAAGCTGTGTAATTGACTTTTGGAAGTCAATTGCCATTGTCCTTCAGGCTTTTCTTGGCAAAGCGAATCACATCAGTTCCACAGTGCATATCTCTCTGCTGAAGTGACTCTATGTCATGTTTTCCGGGCTTGACATAAATTAGAACAGAGCAGAATAACAGAGTTGGAAGGAACCTTGTAGGTCTTCTAATTCAACCCCCTGCTTAGGCAGGAAACCCTATACCATTTCACTCAAGTGGTTGTCCATTTTCTTCTTAAAAACTTCCAGTGTTGGAGAATTTACAACTTCTGGAAGCAAATTGCTCCACTGATTAATTGTTCTAACTGTCAAGAAATTTCTTAGTTCTAGGTTGCTTCTCTCTTTGATTAGTTTTCATCCATTGTTTCTTGTCCTGCCCTCAGGTGCTTTGGAGAATAGCTTGACTCCCTCATCTTTGCAGCAGCCCCTGAGATATTGGAACACTGCTATCATGTCTCCCCTAGTCCTTCTTTTCATTAAACTAGACCACAGGTCAGCAACTTGTGGCTCTGGAGCCGTATGTGGCTCTGGAGCCGTATGTGGCTCTTTCATCCCTTTGCTGCGGCTTCCTGTTGCCGGTCAGCTGCACAATTGATAGGGCTTTCGGTTAGGACAGGTAGAGGAAAAAGGATGTCACACTAGGAGACTCTATGGTGGGGAATCTGACTTCTGGTTGGCTCCAGAATTGAACAGGGAGCTTCCAGTTAGGACCTTTGTGACTCTTTGAGTGTTTTTAAGGTTGCCAACCCCTGAACTAGACATACCCAATTCCAGCAACTGTTCTCTATATGCTTTAGCCTCCAGTCCCCTAATTGTCTTTGTTGCTCTTCTCTTCACTCTTTCTAGAGTCTCAACATCTTTTTTTACATCGTGGCAATCAAAATTGGATGCGATATTCCAAGTGTGGTCTTACCAAGGCATTATAAAGTGGTATTCACACTTCACGTGATCTTGCACTGAAATTATGCAACCTCCTTTTTCCCAAAGAAATCACCATTTTAATGCAAAGCCCATCTTACCTGACGCGTTACTACGAAGTATGCATACATTGCCATGGCGCTGCCATATGTGATGAAGTAGGTGACTGGCTCCATAATGTCCCAAGAATATTCCCACCAGGTGAGCCGAGCCAAGATTCCAAACTGGGTTGCCATGTAAGCCAGCCCACCCCACAATAGCCAGGTTGTCCTCTTCTCTGCTTTTCTGCAAATTTCCATCCTGACCTGCAAAAGAAGATTGTCCAGGGCTAGTACCGTATTGAGCAGTGGCCTTTAATGCAAGTTGGAACATAATCCAAGAACGTTGTCTAATCCAGTGATCCCTCAACCTTTGCAACTTTAAGATGGGTGGACCTCAACTCCCAGAATTCCCCAGCCAGCCTCCTGGCTGGCTGGGGAATTCTGGGAGTTGAGGTCCACCCATCTTAAAGTTGCAAAGGTTGAGGGATCACTGACCTAGTCAGAAGTGTTTTTAATGTCAATATTTTTTGATGGGAGACTAAATGACAGATTGTTCAAATGCAGAACAACCCATTTTCCATTGTTTTGAGTAGTTACCATGTGTTTCCAATGTTCTAATAAAGTCTGTGCTCTAATATGTCCCTATCCTACCTTCTCATTTTAAAATAAAATAGTTCGAAGTAAGATGGCCTCTCTTCCAAATATTACAGAAAGAAGGGAAGGCTTACAGATAAACCCAAGGAGAGAGAACCTTATCATGTCCACATAATGTTTACTTTTGGACTATGGAAAAAAAATCACTAAATCCTTCTTTTTTGCCCCCTGTCAAAAATATGGATGTCTGACTAGATCTTCAATCTTAGTCTTAGTACTGCGAAGATGTATGGACTTCAACTCCCAGAATTCCAGAACAGGAGCCTCTTCTCCAATAGTGCAACAGAATTCTTCCCTCATTTTAGTCCCTCTTGGACCAATCTCCCAGTAGTAACTACAATTCTTTTCTTATTTGTCGTAAAAAGAATCAGCCAAAAGATTCTGGCTACATGCTACAAACAGAAAGTTAAGCCACTACTTCTTCTTGGTTTGGGTTTGGCATTTCTACATGCCGTAAGTTTTGTTCATTTATTTGGAAGAACAGCCAATCCCAATTTCTTATTCACCTTTCCATGGTTCATTTATAACACTCTTGTGCACCAATCTTGTTTAATCCAGCACCAGGAACTGCGATTTAACACAATTTCCAAAAACTAAGTTTTCAGATCCCGATGCCTAAACAAACATTAAAATAGTTCCTTATAGTGTTTTTCAACATTGGGAACTGTACGATAGGTGGATTTGAGCTTCCAGAACTTCCCAGCCAATTCTGGGAGTTGAAGTTCATCTTAAAAGTTGCCGAGAGTGAAAAGCACTGTGATAAAGACTGATGAACAAAGCCAGTGCAGACTATGTTTCTGTGCACAGTATTTGAGAATTTTATACTTAGTTGTGGACAAGTTAACCATGATTCATTAACTGGGAAACAGTGCTTTATAGCAGACCCTGTTCCTCCTCCCTCCCTTTACTAGTTTTTAAAACAGAAATGCTCTGATCTAGACCCATTTATTAATAGATAAGCCTCAATGTGTTGCAGTTTGAAGAGTTGGTTCCACCACAAAACCGCGGACGACAAAATCACGGTCGACGAAAGCACGTATGTGATGTCATCACAGCGCGACGAAAAAGATCGAAAAATGTAAAAATAAAGCTAAAACCTTACCCTAACCCCCCCAAACCTAACCCTAACCCTTAACCTAACCCTAAACCTAACCCTAAACCTAACCCTTAACCTAACGAAAAACCTAACGCTAACCCTTAACCTAACGCTAAACGTAACGCTAACGCTCTAAACCTAACCCTAACCCTTAACCTAACCCTAACCCTAACCCAACCCTTACCTTTATGTGAATCGGCTTGCTGTAATTTAATTTTTATTTCAATTTTTCGATCTTTTTCGTCGCGTTGTGATGACGTCACATACGCGATTTCGTCGACCGCGCTTTTGTGGAACGCGGTTTTGACGGGTCACGGAAGAGTTAGCTCAAGAATATCTGACAAGGAAATCACTTGTAAACAAACATTGGCTGGGTAGGGATCAGAAGATCTTTGTAGTTGTCTATTTTCTTTATATGAGGTTAAGCCAATTATTACAATACATACAGTAACAGATATTCCTTGGCCACTTAAAATTGGTCCAAGAAACAAGTTTGCATATGAAAAAGTTTTTACGTATGAAAAAACCCTTCACAAAGAGGGTTGTCTAAAGCCATTAATGTACAATATAGGCTCTTTGTTCAGCTGTCAAGCTTACTGAAACAACTCTCAGTGACCTCACTTTTTCCATGGGTGCCAATTGCTGCTTGAGGTCTTCTATCCTCCCAATCAATTCCTTCTCCTTGTTCAGTTGGTGTTCTTCAATACACAGTGTGGTATAGAGCTGCTGAACCAGAGTCTTCACATCATTCAACGTGGTGGCATCTTCGTGGCTTAAGAGATCTAAAGAAGAACACAGATCTTTTCATATCCTTATTTTTTCAGTGTGATGGCACTGTGAAGAATGTCGCACGGAAGGACTGAAATTTACAAAATCAAATAAAACAGAGGATGGAATTTATTGGATTACTCAGTCTGTAACATGGCAACTCATGTTCAGACAAGTTTTTAAACAAATGTCATTCCAATAATAGGTTTGGCTTATACTTGCCTCTCCAAAGATAAAAACTGATAAAACTCTTTTAGGCTGGATTGGCATATTACAGAAATAAGGAAGCTTAAAATTCCATTTAAAATTTAGTAACAAAAATGGGATAATTGGGCCAAACTTTTAATGTTGCCTTTATTTTTTATTTCTTAAGACCATTGTACAGCAAATGTCACTTGAAAATATTAGTGTTTAGTATTCAACATTAAGTGGCTTTTGAACTCAATCAGTAAACAACAGGTAGGTATTCTATTTTATTTTGTTTTATTTGTATCCTGCCTTTATTATTTTTACAAATAACTTGTGGCCTACCAGCAGCCAGCGAAGCTGGTGGCAGACACAGACAGTGAGAAGGTTGGGGAGGAACACAGGCCAGTCCTGGAGTCTGGGGAAGGCTCTGATGAGGGCTCTGCATCAGAAGCAGAGAGGGGGCGAGGGCCGTCTGACAGTTATCAGCTGCCTTCGGAGTCGGACATCAGTGGGGCAGAAGAACAGTTGGAGCCTGTTCCCAGTGTGTGCATGCACAGAGCTGCCAGGAGAAGGGAACAGCTAAGGAACAAGGATCGACTTGGGAATAAAGCCACAGGTGGACGGTGAATGGCCCCTCCCATAGGGAATAAAGAGGAGAGAAAGGGGAGTGGAGTTTGCAGGAGACAATTAGTTCAATTCATTAGAATGAAGATCTGTTCCTGACTTCTTGCCAAGTATTGTCTGCTACAGAGTGGCGTTTGGAAGATATCCGCCTGGCAGCTCTCCAAGCCTGATAACGGTCTGTAGTTGTAAAACCTCTTGAAAGGCTGATGGCTGGGACTTTGCTGGAAAGGAATTCAGTTTAAACTAAATAAAAGGGGTTTTATCGGGAGAAGGAGTCGGTTTCATGCTTTTGGGAAGCCTAGGTCAGAACAATAACTCAAGGCAGCAACATATCCAATACCCCTTTCTTTTCCTAAACTCTGAGTCTCCTGCTTTCCTGCCTGATGCCTTAACTATTAGACCTGTGTGTGTGTGTCTGTGTGTGTGTGTGTGTGTTTGGGTAATATGGAATAGCATTAGAAACACGGAATGTATGACTATGTGAAAAGTGTACTCAAATGGGTTGGCAAATCAAAAAAGTACATCAGATTCTTTACATTCCATTTCCTTCTTAATACTTTAAGGTTTATATGGGTATATAAAGGAAGATGAGTTTCATCCATTTATAAAACAAAAGCAATATAAAACAGATAACGCATGAACACATTAATGTCTTGTTTCATGTAACGATAAAAGTAGAACTTAAATCAAATTATAATGCAGAGAAGGACCCTGTCTGAAGATCATCAGGTGGGCTCATTTTTGGCTCATATTGGGAAAAGTTTAAGCCTGGAAAAAGAACTGGAGAACTTCTAGTAGATGCAGTATTCTATTGCATTATGAATACAGAGATTCTGCACCATCTGAATCATACAAGAACTTCTGATATCAGAAAGAAAAACAACTATATATGAAGATGAGCTTAAATACACCAAGGGCAGAACACACCAACCAGCCTAAGAAATGTTTGAATGAGCATATATTCAACCCATTACAAGTAGATTTTGCCCCAATTATATATTTGATCTGAAGAAACCCAAGATAGCTAAATTGATAGGACTTTGATCCAGGCTAATATAGTTTAATTTACATTTTATACCCCAGAGTGCAAGACAATTTATTTGAGCTTTCATGCTTAACTTTACAAACATTTTACCAAAAAGATATTGTATCTTCATTTATGAAGCCCTAAACATCTGTTTAAGCCCTTCCAATGGTAAGGAATCCAAAGGTCCTTTTTTCAAGAGGCAACTGGACTTTGTTTTTCTTTCAAGATGTTTCGCTTCTCATCCAAGAATCTTCTTCTATTCTTCGCCCTTACCTGTTGGGCCTGTTTTTCGCCCTCTCTAGGCTCCTGAGGCTTTCCTGAAGCCTGGGGAGGGTGAAAAACAGCCTAATGGCCTAACCGGAAGTTTGGAAATGAACTTCCGGCCATTGTTCGCCCTCTCCAGCCTTCAGGAAAGCCTCCGGAGCCTGGGGAGGATGAAAAAATGACCCAACCGGAAGTTCGGGAATGAATTTCCAGTTGGCCCTTTGGCCTGTTTTTTGCCCTCTCTAGGCTCCAGAGGTTTTCTTGAAGCCTGGGTAGAGCGAAAATGGCTTCTCCTGGTCCTCTGGAAGGCCGAAAATCAGCTGGCCAGTACATGCATGCGCGCCAAAGCTAAGGGCTGCTGTGCCAGCAAATATGGCTCCATGTGCCATAGGTTCGCCAACACGGGCATATAGGAAAAGTGTCAATCAAGACTCAAGAGAACACACAACAAAACCTGGACACAGGACCATTATTCTCAAGGCTTGGAGAATATTAGCATGAATATTATGATGGCCGGTGATAGTATATTTGGAGAAGATGCAACTTTCCAAACAGACATGAAATTATTTTTTTTAATTATTGGATGGCAAATGACTTCTGCAAATCTATCCCAATTGCATGAAGCTGTTACCTCTCTTTGGTGGACAGACGTGGTAACTCAAGTCATTAATTACTAGTTTGAACTCGTCAAGAAGTAGGAGATCTATGCTTGTGGAAGCTGCGACTCGTGTCCCATCTGAAATGAAAACAGGAATAGATGTATTTAGAGCTAGATATGACTTATTAATATTCCACCAGTGCTCCACTGCAAATTAGTATATTCTACCTTATCGAAATGAACTGAAACTATAGTTTAAGGATTCCAATCTATCATCTCAAAACATAGCTAGACCCTGACTTAGAGACCATGAGCCACGGTGGTGCAGTGGTTAGAGTGCAATACTGCAGGCTACTTCTGCTGCCTGCCAGCTGTCTGCAATTTGGCAGTTCGAATCCCACCAGGCTCAAGGTTGACTCAGTCTTCCATCCTTCCAAGGTGGGTAAAATGAGGACCCCAATTGTTGGATGCGGTAGGCTGACTCTGTAAACCGCTTAGAGAGGGCTGTAAAGTACTTGAGAGACCGCCTGCTGCCAATTACCTCCCATAGACCTGTTAGATCGCACAGGGTCGGCCTCCTCCGGGTTCCGCCCACCAGCCAATGCCATCTGGCTACCACCCAGGGGAGGGCCTTCTCTGTAGCAGCTCCGGCCCTTTGGAATGAATTCCCCGCGGAGATTCG